CTCTTTGTTCTAGCCCCACATCCCATTAGTGCCCTTTACCTTTCCTGGAGCCCCCAAATTTGGAGCCTCACCAGCTGGGTCTCTGGAGAAAGGGTCTTAGTCTCCTTTGTTGGGGGAGGGGTAAGATGGAGGGAGAGAGTGCTGTGTGAGATGGAATAGGAGACCTGGCTTCCAACCCCACAATTTAGAGAATGTCAACCATTCCCCCCCTTTAGGCTTGAACCTCATCCTTACATTCCACAATGCCTGACACCAGAATTTCTGAGCCCTTCTGGGGAGCTGGCTCGCTTCTCTGCCTCATCTCCCTCTATAAACTGTTCTGCTCTGTAAGTCAGTTATGATTGCTCCATTCACTTTCTATCTCCCCAGAATGCCTTTAATCTCCTCTCCACTGACATCTCTTTTGTTCTCTCTGTCATTGTGGATCTGTACCTTTTAAAATGTACTCACTGTCCTTTTAGAGGGCTTTTGTGAAGGAGTAGAGATAGACATATATGATCAATCTGCCACACATAATGCTTTAAACTGGGACTGTCCCAGAAATTCCAGGATGGCGATCTCTAGCAACAGAGTGACTGCATGGTTGTCTGCTGTGGGAGAGAGCAGCCAGGAACTGGATAATCTCCTGTAGACTCAGCAACTCCCCTGGACACCAGAGACGACGGCTGAACATTAAAACATCTTCTGAGCTTTAAGTCTACCACTCAGCAGAGTTTAGATTTCAAACAACCCTAGAGTTGCCAGACTCTAGCTTAGAGAAGGTGGAGATAGTGAGAAGAGAGCTCAGGAATCAGCCTCACCGTCTGTCCCGGCCCAAACAAAGCACCATATGCGTCCTGATGCGTGTGTGCAGAACGGTCCCCATTTCTGCACTTGCAGGACATCTGGCAGCCCAAGATCATAAATCCATTGCAATTAGGCCTCCTGCCACATCATACCCTGGAACTGCTCTGGCAAGGGTTGCTCGTGAGGTCCTCACTGCTGAATCCAAGTCAGTGCATCACACAGCAGCCCTGGACACGGCTGGCCACTTGCCACCTTTTCTTTCCCAAACCAGTTTATTAAGTTTCACTAATAAATTCCCATGACAGATGAGCTCACTTGATTTCCCCTCCTTCTCCCCAGGCATGTGCAAGTGCATACACACGCACACACACACACTCTGCTGCTACCTGCATCTCCCCTCCCTTCAGTGCCTGGAGAACTGGGAGAGAGGCTGGGTATTTTGATTTTCCTTAAGGAATAGTAGTTCACATAAATTGTTTAACAGAGGTTAGGTACTTAGAAGTCCTTTTAATGGACACTGGTTTGCATAAACTGTTTGCTTTTAGACTTTTCTTTAAGGGATGATGTTAATTATTTAAACTATCAATAAAGCACTGCATTTTAAGTTTGGTTAAATCATACCCTGGGGCCACATCGGAGGATCAGTTGCCTGGAATGGAGAGTTACAACCCTGGTACCCCGGGCAGTACGGAGCTAATGGAAGCTGGGCTGGGGAGCCTTGCCCCTGCCTCCTCTTGTTGCAAAGTGGTGCAGCTCATTTTTAGTACTTGGTTGCCGTGAGACACTTGTGATAACAGATGCTGAAGACTGAAAGGTTGTGAGGGGAGACCCAAAGCCCCAATAGCGCAGTGGCGGGGCGCGTGCTGAAGCCGGGTTTTTACAGCCGAAAGTCAGGGCTTTCTCACTGGGTCAGACAACAGACCAGGTGACCAGAGGCCAAGGTCTGCTGCCAGCCTAGTCGAGGGGGTGCTGGATGGCCCACTCCAACTTCTCTCTCGTTCTCCCCTCTCTGTAGCCAGATGGTACCCACAATGGTGGGGACATGAACAGGAAATGTATTTATTTCTCTTAGTTCTGTCACTGAATCAAGTCTGAATTCCCGAGGTCAGGCCCCAAAGAGACACTCTGGGAAGGCACTGAAACCAGTTTCTGGTGCAACTGTGGCTGGTTTGCAGGGCCCTCCAGAGAAGCCCCTGAAGCTGAGACCCTGTCCCAAGGGCAAGTTAAGGGGCTCGCATAAGTTGACTGAGACCAGGTCAACACCGAGCTGGATGAACCAGATGCTGACTCATCATAAAGCCAGAGAGTTCTAACATCTAATAAGGTAGGAGACCCAACATCTGATAAGGGATGGGACCTAACATCTGATAAAGCGTAGGACCTAACATCTGATAAGAGATGGGATCCAACATCTGATAAAGTGTAGGATCTAACATCAGATAAGGTGTGGGACCTAACATCTGATAATGGATGGGACATAACATCTGATAAGGTGTGGGACCTAACATCTGATAAGGGATGGGACATAACATCTAATAAGGGATGGGACCCATACCTGCAGGCCAGCTCTCAGTGACACATGGGGAAGCCAAACCAGTTGGGCATCATCTACAGAAAAGGCCTCTTGACATCCTAGAGCAGCATTTGGCTGCGCATTAGAATCACTTGGGAGCTTCTAAAATCCCAGTGCCTGGCTGTACCCCAGACCAATTAAGTCAGAATCTGAGGATGTGACCTGGCATCAGCATTTTTTAGAGATCCCCTGGTGATTCTGGGCAAAGGAGATCTACTGCCTAGAGTCAGGCTAGCTCCATTCCCATCCTGAGTTATACTACCTAGCTGTGTGGGCCGGAAACCTAGATGGACCACTGCGGTCCAAGCCTTAGCTAAGCACGCTAGGGCTGCCAACTTCCCCAACTCCAGGGATCACCTTCATACAGAAGACAATGTGCCTGGTGCTCCCTGGAGCCGTGTGATGCTGTGACCCTGTGTGATTCTGCTGCCTGAAGATCTCCTTCCCTCTCTTCTCTCCATCCCTACTCCATGGCCTTAATTCATTCTGGCCATCACTCACCTGGACTATTGTAGCTGTCTCCTGCCTGGCTCCTCCACTAATCCATTCTCTGCACTGGGCCAGGTGATCTAAACACCACATCTGCTTATGACGCTTCTCTGCTTGAAACCCTTTAATGAGTCCCCATTGCCTTCAAAATAAAATATGGATGCCTCTGCTCAGCAATGGAGACCCTCTGTGATGTGCCCTCTCTCTCTTCCCAGGCCCCATTCCCTACACTTATCCTACTCAGACCCTGTGATTCCGCCGCACTGGGCCCCTCGGTGCTCCACACTATTTCACACCTCTATGTCTCCTCCTTAATTGCCTGGCAAACCTCCATCCTTCAAGCTCCAACCCAAGGGCAGCTCTCTGGGAAGCCGTTGCAGACCCTGCAGAGCCCAGTGGGTTCCTCCTGTCTCTGGGCCGCCACTGCACGCGCACGCACCTCTCCCTGTGTGCTTCCCGCAGCCCTCCCATTACTCTTGTGCATCTGTCTCTCTTTCCTTCCTTTGGACACTTTGCTGCTCCCAGAAAACCTTCATTTTCAGACCATGGGAACCTAACAAAAAGCCAACTGCCTGAGCTCAGGGCAGGACCCTGGATCCACTTCCTCCCACTCATTTTGATCTGTCTCTGCACTGGCTGCCCCCAGGCCCTGACCTGCTGGGTTTCGCATCTTGGCTTCATTTTCTGTGGATGCCACTTGGAAACTAGGCTCTGGATGGGCTGCTTATGACTGAACTGGCAGGCCACAGGATGCTGCCTCTGGGGACTTCCTCTGCCTTGCTCCAGCCCAGGCCCCAGGAACATGCCACACGGTTCCCATCCAGGAAAGGGAATCATTTGTGACCTCTTATATGCTTGCTCCTTGAGGCAAGGGACAGCCTGATTCACCTTTGGATCTCAAATGCCTAGTACCATGCCTAGGCCTTTAGCAGATATTCAATAAATGTTTCTTGGGTGGGAGGGTAGATGGATGGATGGGCAGGTTGGCTGGTAGGAGTATGGACAGAGGATAGATGGAGTGATAAATGGATGAATGGCATTTCCTTTCAATTTGACCTAGTTCCTCCCAGCCCCTCCTGTCCAACGGTCATGCCTTTTCTGCTCCCTATACCTCCTCTCTGCAACCAGCTGCAATGGCCCCTGGGGGTGTAGACCCAGGGGCAGCTAGAAGAAACCAGACCAGGATGTCACACCAGCTCACCAAGGATGTCTCCCCTTCCCCAACTGCCCTTTATAGTGAAACCCTGCACCAAACAGCCCAACACTAGACTAACTCCTCGAACGTTCTGTAATTAGGCCATATGATCACTCGTCATCTCTTCCTGGCTATGCAGGACTGTAAGCCCTGGAGGTCGGAGACTCTGCTTGTCTCACAGCCCCTCCACTCCCAGCTCAGTTCTGGTACACAGTCAGTGCTCATTGAATGCTTGATCACTGGGAGGCCAGCAAGCCTCCTAGACATGAGAACTGAGGCTCTCCCCTCAGTGAAGAAGACATGGCCTTCCTTTCTCTAGAATGTTCGGCCTCTGCAGAGATGGTTTGGCATCTGTTTCTCAATCTGGGATTAATGTTCTGGATCAAGGAGTCCCATGAAAATGCCTCCTAGAGCATTTAGGGAATTATGCTTGGGAAGTCCTCCTTGGAAGCAGATAATAAATCAATCAGCTCAGAGAAGACGCTGAGGCAGATGGGATCATGTCGCCCAGCTGAGAAAGGAACCAGGGACACCCTTTCCCTTGAGGCCCAAACTCAGAGACCCTCCTGTGGACTTAGAATGACCAGCTGTGCCAGTTCGCCCAGTACTGTCCCAGTTTTAGCATTGAAAGGCCTGCATCCTTGGACTCCTCGGTCCCAGGCAAATGGGGACAGTCGGTCACCCCGGCTCTGGTGCTCTTTTTCTCCTTCCTCAGCAGCTCCTCTGCACAATGCAGGAGCCCCAAGTGTGCCTCCATGTTTACGTGGCCACCCCCCTCACTTCCGACTATCTTCCCAGCAGTTACCTCGACAGCTGGTGTCGGTCCACGGCCAGTGAAAGAGCCTGGGGCTCCCGTTTCAACCCTAGGGGCTCAATTCGAATCTTGCCCTTTGTGCTGCCAGCCCTGGCTCCCAGATACCAGGGAAATTACAGGGAAGGGAAGGGAAACAAATGTACCTGGAGGAGGGAGACATTGGCAAGGCTGAGTCGGAAGAGGTAGTTCCTGTGAAAACAGAAACGGAAATGGTAAGTCAAGCTGGTTCTGCCAGGGGGTCCCCAGGAAGCAGCTTCCTGGCAGCTGTCTCACGGGTGCCACGACTCGGTGCCGACGGCAGAGGGCCTACAGGGGCCGGCCCCCAGGGGGCGCTTTACCTCCACTAGCTCATTAATCCTAACAGCAACCCAGGCGTGGAGAAAGAAAACTCCATTTTACAGGTGAGGAAACAGGTTGGGTAAATGGCCCAAGTCACAGAGACAGTAAGTGAAGGAGTTGAGATTAAAAGCCAGACTTGTCAACTCCGGGAGCCCAGGAGTCTCTGCTCCCTGGCCCTCCTGGCAGGCCCGGGGAGGAACCCTCAGCACCTTTCCCAGCCATGGAGCCCATTTCTGTTCAACTTAAAGCCTCATGGAGCTCTCGCAGGAACCCAGACGGGCCATCTTCCTCTGCCCCTCACCTACCAGCTTGAGCCACTTTCCTCCTCAAACAGGCCAGCCGTCCCTCCAGGTTCCACGCCCACGGCCCCTGGAGTCCCGTCTGCTTCCTCATCTCCTGCAGTCCCTCCGGTAATCAGCGACCCTGGATCTGACCTTTCCACAGCCACCTTCCTGAACCACCCTCTCTCCTCTTGTCCAAAGTGCCCCTCTGCCACCTCACGATTCCTCTCTCCTGCTGCCCAGCCAGCACAGGGCTGCCAGACTCATCTTCCTCAAACATCATTTTCATCCTCTTGGCCTGATGCTCAAAAACCATAAATAAGGACACTTATGTCCACACAAAAACCTGTGCACAGATGTTTATAGCAGCTTTATTCGTAATTGCCAAAACTTGGAAGCAACCAAGATGTCCTTCGGTAGGTGAGTGGATAAATAAACTGTGGCACATCCAGACAATGGAATATTGGATAGGAATAAAAAGGAATAAAATAAAGAGGAATGAGCTATCAAGCCATGAAAAGACATGGAAGAAACTTAAACACATATTACTAAGTGAAAGAAGCCAATCTGAAAAGACTATATATATATATATGTCAAATTATGTGACATTCTGGAAAAGGCAAAACTATGGACAGAGTAAAAGAATCAGTGGTTGCCCGGGGTTGGGGCAGGAGAGGGAGGGGTGAATAGGCCGAGCGCAGAGGAATTTCAAGGCACTGAAATTATTCTGTATGATAATGTAATGGTGGATGCATGTCATTATACGTTTACCCAAACCCATAGAATGTACACCAACAAGAGTGAAGCCTATTGGAAACTACAGACTGGGTGATAATGATGTGTCAATGCAGGTTCATCAGTTGTCACAAATGTACCACCCAGGCGGGGGATGTTGATGGTGGGGAGGCTGTGCATGTGTGGGGGCAAAGGCTATATGAGAAATCTCTGTACCTTCCCATCAAGTTTGCTGTGAACCTAAAACTGCTCTAAAAATAAAGTCAATTAAAAAAAACAAACTTAAATAATAATAATGATGATGATGATGATACTACTATGAATATCGGCCACTCACAGTGTCAGGCAATGCTGACATTGCTTTGCCTGGACTCTGGAGCCACGAGGCCACTATGCCTGGGCTTGGAGGGTGGCAGAACCACCAAGTCAGGGCGCCACACGAAAATGACTGCAGGTTCACAGAGTAGACTCTGCTAGAGACCAGGAGAATTACAGCTCAGCCACCTGCTGGGGCCTTCTGAGAGCCTCAGTGTCTGCATCTGTGAAATGGAGAAACCAGTGCCTGTCTTGTTTCACAGGGCCACGGAGACAGGGGAACTCTGTGGGGCACGTTAAGAGGCTCTATTAATATCAAGCAGACCTAAAGTCTTGGTTTTCCCTAAGAATTTTCTTTCCTTATTACATCTTCTTTTGGCCATTCCTCTTTTGGCTCCTGAAGTTTTTGGGAATAATTGCTTTAGAAAGTTCTGGCCTACCTCAGCTGTGCTGAGACAAGAAAGGCCGGGACAGCTTGGGGAGTGGGCCAGAAAGAGGAGGGGCCCCGCGGGATGAATCCAGGCCTGAAGGAGACCCCTGGGGCAGAGACTTCTCTTTCCCAGCTCTGGCTCCAGGCCCAGGCCCCACTTAGCTTCTTTGCTCCTAGGGCTGGGTGGCCTCACCGATGACCTTGGCTCCAGGCCTCTGCTGTCCCTCCCCAGCCCCCTGCCCTGCCCTGCCCCTCCCTAGGTCTCTCACAGGGCTTCCCCACCCCCACCCTCCTGGCCTGGGGACAGATGGGCTCTGGTTCATACTCTAGCCTCTGCCCCAGCTGTCTGCTCAGGTAACACAGGCGTCTGCTCACAGCTTTAAAAAATTAGGGGAAACATTGCATCATTTTATTCATTTTTATCCCATCGAAAACCATTCATCACAACACTGCAGTCTATTCTTCTGGGAGATGAGAACAGAGAGAGATCTCTGTAGCCTGACCCGCCCTAAAGCCCTTATGGAACAGGGCAGGGTATAAATGAATAACAAATTTCCCTAGCCTGAATTCCAGAGGCCCAGGGGGGTCGGAGGGAAGAGGGGCGGGAAACGTCAGGCAGAAGAGAAGAGGGGAGGAAAGTGACCTAGAGAAAGCGGGAGAAGAAAGAAGCAGAGGACCCACTTCATTTGCTGTCGGGGTGTAAGGGACCAAGTCCATGATGACTGTCCCCCTATTCTGGGGGCAGAGCCAGGCTCAAGGATCCAGGAAAAGCTGTGCCTCCCCCTATGTGGGGGGAAGGAGCGGATGGGAAAGAGCAGTGTGACCACAGGCAGGCAACTTAATCCTTCTGAGCCTCACCTTCCTGGCCCACTCAATGAGGACAATCACAGAATCCACTTCCTGAGTTGCTGTGAAGACTGGATGGTTTATTCCATGCCTGATGGACTACATGTTTAGATGCTTTACTACAATGTGGTATATAAAAGAATGCCTGACATGTGGCAGGCGCAGAATGAAGGACAGCTTTCAAAATGCTTCCACAAGCTTCAGAGCGAAGCATCAGGAGTTTAAAAAGTGCGTGTGTGAAGCTGGTGGAATCTGAATAAGTGAGAAGGATTGCGTCAATGTCAGCTTCCTGATTGCAATGTTGTGCTATCGTTATGCAGGATGTTACCATTGGGGAAAGCTGGGCGAAGGGTATACGGATTGGATCTCTCTGTATTATTTCTGACAACTGCACGGAAAGCTCCGATTATCTCCAAATAAAAAGTAAAACAATTATTCTGTTGGCTGGGAAAATAAAGTCCATACTCTTGCATACTTGCCTATGTACAGATTCCCTCTGGGAGGACACACAAACTCACTACAGGGCGTGACTCCAGGGAGGGGTCCTGCTTGGTGTGGGAGGGGTTGCGGGGGGCCCTTTTTTTCACTGTCTACTCTTTTGTACCTTCTGAATGTTCTACCATAACACATCTCACTGATGCAAAATAATTTGTTAATTTCAAAAGAAAAAAGAAAAAGAATGCATTCAGCCCCAGCATCATAAGAGCCCTGTGAGGCCCAGACTTTACAGATGAGGAAACTGAGGGTCCAAGGTCAAGATCACCCAGGACAAGATGCAGACCATCTCGTCCTAGTCCAGAGCTCTGTCTTTGACTTGCTTCCCTTTCCTACAGCAAATGAGGGGGTGGGGACACTCCGGAGAGCCCAGAGGTCAGGGATGGTCAGCTACATAGTGTAGCCTGGAGGTGCCCAACCCAGTGCCTCCCCCACCCCCAGACCCGCTGACTCAGGACCTCTAGGGGGAGAGCTTCTGCAAAACCAGTGTAGCTGGCGCTGATAACATGGACTGGCAGAAAAACTCTAGCTCTGGGGTTAGGAGGCCTGGGGTCTAGTCCCCATACTCTGTTGTCATCTTGCTATGAGTTCTTCAGAAGGTCACCTTCCCCTCTCTGTCCCCTGCCTCTTCATGTTTAAATTGAGGGAGGTGGATTAGACCAGCGATTCTAAACCTCAGAGTGCACGGAGCTCACCTGGAGGACTTGCTAAAACGCATGCAGGTCGCAGGCCCCATTCCCAGAGTTTCTGACCGGCAAGTCTGGGGTGGAGCTCGAGAACTGCATTTCAAACAAGTTCCCAGGTGCTGCTGGTGCTGCTGGTGCTGCAGTGGACCATCTCTGAGCTCCCTTCCCCACCAGAACTGGTCTAGGATTTTGTGAGAACTGTCTCCTACTACCCTGCCCCATAGAGTTTCCACAAGTCCTCCCTAGAGCATATTATCCTGTGAATCCCAGACCAGGACAGTGGCGTAACCGAGGTCAGGCAACAGGGAAGTGAGGCCCTTCACAAATGAAGCCCAAATCCTGTGTCCCGCGTCCCAGGTGCAGGTGGCCAGCTGGCCAGCAGGGGGCTCCAGGGCACCTTCTCTGCGCCGAGCTCCTGGGGAGCACGCCAACCAGGCAGGTCCTGGCCAGCAGGCTTTCCTGCTCTCAGTAACCGCCAGCCACTGAGGGATGTGGCTTGCTGAGATCCGGAGGTCTAGAGGTCACTTCCCACCTCCACTTCCCCCAAAATGCTTCCTTCTGTGAGGGACAGACAGGGCTTGGCAGAGAGGAACAGAGCCCAGGGTGAGGGCCTACCCACGGTGGACTCATCCTAGCCACTCAATTCGAAGCACCCTCACTCCTGGCCCCAACCTTCCAGCACCTCATTACCTGGCTCCCACGATGAGCTGGTTCCTGGAGGGATCCAGAGCGAGCTGGGAGAAATCTCGGGCTCCAGGGTAGGTGAAGTTAGAGATCCATGGCTTCAGATCTGTGGAAGGAGAGACAGCCGCTTGGTTACTTTTGGGCCAGGGGCTCCCAGCTGCCCCAGCATCAGACCCAAGAATGGAAGGGCTGCAGTCAGGGTGAAGTCACGGACCAGCGAGGCAGGTGGGCACCACCTGCCCACCTCTGTGAGTAGTCAGCCGGGGGACACAGGGAGTGAGGCTGTTGTCACTGTTCCTGCTACGTTCCCTACCTCAGAGAAGGGCCCCACCCACCCCCTAGCTGCCCAAAGGGAAACCTGTAATCATCGTTGACTCTCCCAGACCCCGCCAGCCACATCAAACACACTGGCAAATCCTGTCTGTTCTGCCTCCAAATTGTTTCTGAAGTCAATCCATCTCGCCCTCTGCGCCCCAGCCCCCAGCCAAGCCGTCATCATCGCTTGCCTGGACTGGTGCCAAGAGCATCCTAACTGGCCTGGCTTCCACTCCTGCTCCTCCAGTCCGCTTTCCACAAGGCAACCAGAGCGATCTTTCTAAAATGCAAATCTGGTTATGTCACTTTCCAACTCAGAACCCTAAAATAGCTCCCAGTTGCCCCCAGGAAAAGTCTCAACTCCTGTGAAGTCCTTCGGGTTCTGGCCCCACTGTCCTCCCAAGTCGAATGCCTGGCACATTAATTATTTAGTGATCCACCGAAAGACTGATGCTTCATCTTTACATTCCCCCTCAAACTGTCCACCCCCGCCACACTAAATTAGAACACTGTGCACTTCTCCAGACCTATCCCACAGGAGCCTGCAAACCTTTGCACTTCTGTTCTCCCTTGAACGAACGGCTCCTGGTCACCCCCATCCCCGCCCCGCCTCCTCCAAGAAGCCTTCCCTGACTCCGCCAAGCCAGGGGGTGGGGCTCCCACAGACTTCTGCTTTACTACCATCAAAGCCCCCATCTTGCTGGGTGTCTCGCTCGGTAGTTTGCCCTGGGGGACCGGGAAGATCTTGCTTCTTGGATCTCCAGGCTCTGCTCGGCATCTGGAAGTATTTGAATGAATGTATGAATAATCCTCAACTCCCTTCTGTACGAGAAGAATCAAGTTTTCAGACAAGACTCCACGGAGGCGGGAGAAACGGAGGGTGGGTGGTCAGTGTCCATCCCTATCCCCAAGGAAGGATCTTCCCAGGCGAGGCCAAAGCCTTTGATGGGGGCTGGGCGGGCAGAGAGCCCGATCTCGCAGCCCTCTAGATGGAGGGGCAGTGATCTGGGGAGGGTACACCTGGGGAACAGTGCCCAGGTGACCTGCCCTCTTTCATGCCAATGGGGGTAAAGATGAGGGGAAATGGGGGGCCTGTGCTTTCTCCCCATAGTGCATTAGCGACTGGCTCACGGAAGGCCCAGAGGAGCGTGTGTGCGCACGCGTGTGCACGTAATCCAAGGGAAATAAATCATTGCTCATTATCCCTCCACTACAGAGTAAAGGCAGCCCTTCATTTCTGCACAACAGGCAAACACTTAATCGCTCCCTGGAGAAGTGGAGGTTTTGCGAGTTGGATGTTTTTCAGAAAACTGTGATATGCACGATTAAAAAGAAAGAAAGAAAGAAAGAAAGAAATTCTGCAGCAAAATGAAGCAAGCCTCTTGGGTCAGCCTCTGCCCTCAGCAGGCAACTACAGGTTGGAAAGGATTATCAGGAAATTGCAATGGCACTTGGGCAATATGGGTATAAGGTGTGGATCTGGAGTCAGGTAGACTGGATATTTAGCTGACCTCAGGGCCACTCTCAGAAATCCTGGTAGGATATGATACTACCTTAGAGACTAAGCCAAAGGTCCTCCTCCTCCAGGAAGACTTCCTGGATTATTACCTCTCCACCCTGATCTTATTTTGTTCCACATTCTCTCTACTCTTTCTGTTCCATTCACATTGTATGTTTTTGTAGCTCTGAATGTGCTCAAGTCTGTTTTCTGTGGGGAGAAGAGTGTGAGGGGCTTGCTATCGCTATCAGACTGGGTGTTCCCCAACAGCAGCAACCGGGACTCACTTGAATTCCCTTCTCCCTTCCGACAGGAGTATTCCAGATGTGGGCAGCTGAACAGGGGAAGAGGTGGCATGACTGGTCTGTGGCAAACCAGGAGAAACTCCACCTGGGGGGCTTCTCGGCTCAGTCTTCCATAAGGCCCTTTCTTGGGGAGGAGGGGAGAGGATAAAGAAACAGGGCAGAAGCCAGGGTGACAATGGGAGGTGGGGGCCGGGGGAGTGGAGGGTGGTGGCCCCTTCCAGTTTCTGTCCCTCTCTCCTAGCCCCGAAGGGACTGACAAGGGCAAAGGAGAGAGACGCAGGCGGGTGCGGCATGGTGATCCTGGGGGAGCCAACTTGGGAAGGGAGCCAGCCTCCTCTTATTAAACAGGCACGGAGGACCAGAGGGGAGGCTGTCTTTAAAACCCCAAGCACGTTCTGAGCTGCGTGTGCTGCGAAGGCTTTGGACGGCAACTTTAAGAGAAAAATGACATTCTCCGTGACGCGCCTGTGATTTTAATTATCGTCAATTCGATTACTCACTTTGTGGATTAACCACCGCCAGCGTTAACTCCATCCTGGCTTCTCCCTGACGCCTAGAAAGGTGGTACTGTGGCAACAGGAATAATGCAGCCAGAGAGAAACCCAGGTGGGCCCCCCTTAAAGAAACCCATAGGAGAAACGTCACCTCAGCCAGCAGAAAAGGGTCTGTCAGATTCTGCATCCGGCAGCTCCTCTGGGGTATTTAGGGGTTATTCACAGATCAGACAGGTGTCAGAGGAGAGGGAAACTCACAGCTACAGGGTGGAAGCTGCTGCTCAGTCAGAAATAAGGTGTAACATGGGAGGGAACTCTGCAGTCTGGGGGTTGGTGCTGGGCTGGATTATGGTGACTTCTCTGGACACAGCATCACCCAGTATGAACCAAGACCCTAGTGTGTGCTCAGTTCTGCTAAAGGGCGTGGGGAGACCTGAGGACCAGGCCTGGGCCAGGACCAACTGCGCTGGGGGACCAAAGGGAGTGACATTTAAGGAACAACAAGAGATACTTGAGTATTTAAAGGAAACTCTTGTCCACCTCAAGAGCTTCCAGCTCTGTGCCTGGCGTCAAGCAGGATCCAATAAAAGCTTGGTGAATGGACAGGAAAACCCAAAGCTGTCAGCATGAGGAAGTGGGTGATTTGCGGGGAGGAAAAGCAGAGACGATGCCATTCCCCAGGGCTGTCAGTCCAGGACGACGGACCAGCTCTGCTTGCCCAGGGCTAAGGGGATTCCTTAATCCCTCCACATCCACCACCTGTGTCAGCCTGAGCCTCATTCCTTCATTCTGAAATCTTCATTCAGAATCCCGCTCCTCTGTGCCCCACTTGGGCCTTCCCTTCAGTGACAGCCACCAGCACGCTGGGCGCCATCAGAAGTCGGAGGGTGCACGCGTTTTGTAGGCTTAAGGACATCGCTAATTTATTTTAATCCACTTAAGCCTTCAAAGCCTTGGATCCCAGCTCAAACGAGACAGCCCAGCCGGGGAAGACCGCTGGAAACCCTCCTCCCCGGGACGGGAGCCGTTCCACCCCTGGGAATTCCGCACTTCCAAGAGTCCCCAGCCTCCGCCCCAGCTCCTAGCCTCACGGCCCCTCCCACCCCACAAATCCCACACCAGCCTCTCGTTTCCATCTTGCCCCTCTAGACTGGCTGTGTGGGGTCCCAGAGGGGAGGCTGTGCGCCCTCCCGCCTCGGGCGCCTGAGGGAGGAGCACCTGACCCTCGTCCGCGAGAGTGGGAAGAGCGCTGGATGGGAGTCTGGAGGCCATGGCTGAGGCCCGACTCTGACAAGTCTGGCCAAGCCCCTACACCTCAGCCCTCCTACCTCTAGAAGGAGGCGGTAGTCCTTCCCTGCCTCCCTGCCGGGCCATTGTGAGGAGGAACTAGGACAGGTGTTTATCAGACTTGAGGACTTGAGGTCCCCTGAGCTACATGTGCCTACCCCGCTGTGAGCCGCCACATAGGTGATGGATCCTGAGGTGTCGATGCGATCATAACACCACCAGGGATCCCCAAACTGGCTAACAGGTCATGGGAGAACATCTGGGATGCTCCAGTATTCGTGCCTTGTTTTGTTTTTAGACTGTCATCAAACGTATACTAAATTTAGAAACTTTTATTGAGAACTTATGGACCCCTCAGAATATGTGAGTTACAAATCCCAGTTTGGCAAACACTGTCATAGGACACTCTCATGACCTCCCTTGACAGACGGGGGTTCCGAGGGCCCCTAAGACGGGCATCCCTGTAGGCGTCTCAGAGCAGAAGAAGCTTTCCAGAGATCTCCAGACACTTCCTAACGAGTGAGTCATCTTCACACTTCCCCCCAGGGAAGCCAAGAAACAGAGCTCATGCTTCCAGGAGAGCTGGAGCTGAGAGGACCAAGTAACCCTTGGCCGCACACTCAGGGCATCCACAACCTCGTTCTCTAGCAAAGGAATGCCAGAGGAAGATCCCTCCTGCCCCAGGTAAACATGGAGGCAGGGCCTGAATAAATTGTCTGGAGACTAAATCAGACCCCTTCAGCCCATGGCTACCCATCCTTCTTACCTCTCTCCCCAGAGGCAGAGTCTCTACAGCAAATGAACATCCTTGGACATCCAACAGGCAGAGAGGCTCTGCTGAGGTCCCACCTACAGACACAGTCATTGCAAACAAGGATGGAGTGGGAAGTGACTCTCACCTGCAAAGGCCACGATGGGGTGTTCCCTCAAGGTGCACAGCTGCTCACTGCTGGGGTCACTGGTGACATCCTGGGAGCTGGAGAGGTGGAACACTAGCAGTGTGAGGCTGGGTGGCAACAGGGTGACAGCCAGGGGTCCCGGGAACACCATGGTGGGGCCCTCTGCAGTCCTAGGCAGGCTGGGGAAGTCCTGCAATGCAAACACTCAGGGTCACCAAATGCTCCCTCAGCAATGCCCCCTCCTTGCAATTTCCTCATGGTGGTCAGCAGCCCTGCGGGCTTCGTGTGTTTGATTGTTTTTTAAAATAAATTTATATTTTATTTATGTTACTTAAAGCTTACTCTGCTCTGGTTATGCAAAGTTATAGATCATACCTTGAAAGCTAATTTCTCTTGTAATGGTATTCTGGACAAAACTGACAAATTACAGAGCTTTTTCTATTATGATCCCAAATGGCTTAAAATTAGTTTTAATGATAAAGGTGGTAGCTTAGGGATTTTAATAAATGGAGCTAGGACAAGTGGGTAGCTATCTGTAAAAAGATAAATTTAGATCTATAACTCACATCTTAGATTAGGAAAAATTCCAACTGGATAAAAAATTTAAATGGTAAGAATAAAACCATAAAAATACTAGAAGAAAATGCAGGCCGAATTCTTTATAACCTTGGAGTGGAGAACCGTGACTCAAAATCCAGAAGCTATTAAAAAAAAGACTGGTGCATTTAACCACATAAAAATCACAAACTTCTGCACCAACATCAAGCAAAATCAAAAGGCAAATGACAAACTGGAAAAAAAATTTGCAGTTCATATCACAGACAAGGGGCTAACATTCCTTATATATTAAGAACTCCTGGGAATCAAGAGGAAAAAGACCAACACTCCACTAGAAAAATAGGCAAAGAATATAAAAGCAAAGAGGGCTTAAAAATATGAATGACGCTTATTCTCACTCATAATAAGAGCAGCGCAAATTAAAACTTTGAGCTATCACTCCACACCTACTAGTTTAGCAAAAATCCAAGTGAGACGACACACTCTGGTGAGGCTGTGGGAAAGGGGCACTCTCATATACTGCTGGTGGGCGTGCAATACAGTCCGGCCCCGTGGAGAGGAATCTGGCAATATCTGGCAAAACGACAGAGGCATTTACCCTTTGACCTAATTTCCAGGAGCCTAGACCAGTGCTACTCCAAGTGTGGTCCATGGACCAGTGTTGATCCACAAACTGTGACAACTTTTGGTAAGATAAATGCAGACATTTGAGAGTAAGTGTTTAAAAACCTTTATGGTAATTTGATGGAGCAATTTTTACATCTATTGGATCTAATACAATATTTGGGCTTATATTTTGCCTCGCTTTTTTTCTCCAATTCACTACTCTGGTAATTCACTTGTATTGAATTTTACATGAGTATCCGCCTGTGACAGATTGTAAACTGAGAAGTAAAGGCTGCTCCTTCACCACAGAGAGCTGGGAAGCAAACCTAGCCGACAGGGGCGCCTGTACAGGTGCAGAGAGACTGATGCACAAGATTATTCCTCATGGCATTCTTTGACGCGACAGAAGACAGGAAACAACCGAATATGCAGCAACTGCAGACTGCTTAAATAAGCCCTGGTATCTTCATAATGCAATACTATGTCGCTCTAGAAAAGAATGGGGATTTTCTCTAGATTTTGATATGGAGAAATCTCCAGGGATACTAAGTAAAAAAAGCAAGGTGCAGAACTGTGTAATAGCATGCTACCTTTTGTGTAAAAAAGAGGGTAGAAATCGGAATATATATTTACATTTGCTTGTGTTAGCATTAACATACACAGGGAAAATAAACCAAAGCTAATTCAAGAAAAAAGAAGGTTATCTATAAATAGCAAAACGGTGATTCAGGCTTCTCAATATATACCTTTTTATATTATTTCATTTTTGAATATTAAATGTGTTTAATATTACCCACTCAATAAAAATTTTAAAAACTAGTTTGGGTTCCCTAAAACTTCTAACATGGAGTGTCCCAACAGTGCCCCTGGAGGCTTGACCTGGAGCCTCTGAGCCAGCTCCCACCTCCCCCCCTCCTCCCCGGCCCATCCGATGTGTCACCAGGCCCTGGGGACCCCATATCCCTCACAGGTCCCTACCCACGGAGTGACCTCCTTGGTGTCACCTTCCTCATCTGTGAAATGAAAGTTGAACTAGATCTGGGATTTCTGGCCAGCGTGGGAGCGACTCAGAATCACTTCCACTGGGGGCAGAGCCCAGGGGCCGGCAGGTGAGTGACCCCAAAGGGGATTCTGAGGAGCCTCCCCAGGGACTAGAGGCTCCTGGGAATCCTTCCTGCTCTAAGACCCACTGCTCCTAACCCTTCCTCTCTCTTCCCTTCCTACTCCAGGTCTGGGAAATTACGCAGAATGATTTTCTTCCCGCCTAAGTTCCCTCACATGTGTGGAAATAGGCTAACGCGTATCAATGCATCGCTGGAACGCTTCAAGCAAACTCCCCAGGGACCACAGTCTGTGCCCCCAGCAGAGCCCCCTCCTTCCTCCCCTGCCTCATGCTGCACCCCATCCTGTGGGCCATTAGGTCCTAGAGCACCATTTTGGTCCCCTCATCCTCAGGCTCAAATTCTCCACCCCTCCCCAGGACAGTCTGGCCATCCGTCTTAGAGACCCTCTGGGAGGAAGGCTGGGCCCAAACTTACCCCCCGGAGCAATTTTTCACATGAGTTTTTCTCAGACCCAAGCTGGGTCCTTCCTGCTGCCTGGGGCTGGCAGTGCTGTCCTCCCCCTGCTGCCCATCTCCTTTCCCAGACACTGATTCCTGGCCTCTCGAACAGGGTGCAGAGGTGGGGGTGGGGCCCAGAGGGCGGGCCAACCCTCTGGAGCTTGTCCACCTGAGTTCAAATCCCAGCTTTTCTCCTTACCAGCTGTGTGACTCTGGGAGAAAATAACCTCTCCTGGCCTCAGTTTCCCCAAATTGGGAATGAGAATAACAGTATCAACTCCCCCAGCCATTGTAAGGATTAAAGGAGTTACTGCCTTTGAAAGGCCTAGAACAGTGCCTGGCAGACAGACAGCATCAACGCATGAGAGCTGTTCTGGTGCCCTGGTGGAAGGGAGACTGGGGAATTCCTTTTGCCCTTTGACACTTGTGCTGGATACCTTCTGTTTGTCCCTCCCCTCTCTCTCCTCCTCCCTGCTCAGTGCCTGGACTGCTTCCGGGGCCTCCTTCCCTCTGTTGGGCCATTGGGCGCACTGGCAGAAGATGGGAGGAGGGAAAGAGGAGGCAGCAGAGTGAGTTCCCATCCTGGCTTCTGGAACTCCAGGTTTCAGCAATCCTCCCCCTCCTCCCCTCAGCTTAGAGGGGTACATCCTCTGGTTACCGACCCGTGGGTACCACACAGTGAGATATCCCATATGGTTCCCAAACCCCTTCCCACACCTTTGTAAATAGTTCCTTTATTAAACTTCCCTCACATTTCCCAATTCGAGTGTGCCATCTGTTTCCTGGGGGACCCCGACTGCTATAACATCCAATTGGCGATTTTCAACACATATGCAAATATCATCTTTTCAGACCTTAGCTGAGGCTGTTCCTCCACCAGCCTCTCAGGGCATCTAAGGTGTGCTGACAACTGCCCTCCCCTCATATTCCTAGCCCTCCCCCTGTCCCATGCCCCCTTCCCAGGCCCCCTGCCTCCCCACCCCAGGTGTGACAATCCTCCCCAGAGTCCCCAGGTCTGCCCCTCCGTGTGGCCACATCCTGAGCTCCCCCGGGGGGGCTGAATTGGGAACACATTCTGGACCCCTTCGCCTCCCCCAGGCCCCAGGCCTCACAGCATGTAAGTTCTGCAGTAGAAGTTCCACTTTCATTACAGTTTTTATATAAATATGTCCTCCTAGTCCTCTCGAATCAATAACTACTAGATTAATATCACTTCGTCCACCCCACACAGCACGTCTACTGTTTGAGGAGAAAGGATGGGAACACAACACATGAATGGGAGCCAGGAATGGCCGAGGGCTGGACCCGGGTCAGGGATCTCCTCCACCCAGCTACCTGCCCTCCAGGTGAGGGAGGAGGGAGAGAAGAGAGAGCAGCAGATGGATGTGCACACCGCACACAGAGCAGAGTCACCCAGAGGTAGAGACAAGCACTGACCAGGGAGGGGGCAGGAAAAGCCTGCATTCAGATGAGCGGGCCAGTCCTCAGGAGTGCAGGGGTGGCCAGGGTGCGGACTGCCTGAAGCCCATGGGGGCTCTTGCACAGGCCTATTTCCAGGGCCTCCTCTGCCCTTGGCAAAGGAGCCACTTGGCCCTAAGACGGACGCAAAGGAAGGACAGAAGGAGCAGGGAAGAGAACAGTGGGGCTGGAGTGTGGGTGCTGATGGTCAGGGCAGAGCTCTACGAGCCAGGGCCTGTAGCTTTACAAATGTCACCAGAACAGGGGTGTCATACTGGAGAGAGAAGAGTGGTCAGCCCCACATCACTGAGAGTGTCACAGGGTCTGATCTTTTGAGCAGAGTTGGGAGGGTGAGTTCCCAACTTTGGAAGAATTCCCCGTCTTTGGAAATTACCTCCCCTTGAACCACAGGCCAAAGGGGTAGGCCCCCAGCAGCTTTATATATACACCTATCCCCATGCCACCCTAGCTGCTTGCACCAAGGATAGTCATGCGATCAAAACAGACCAAGCAGATGCTCTCCCAGCAACTTGGATGTATAACCCCACCACCACCAGGATCGAGTCAGTCTTTGTAGAGGACCCTGGAATATTAATGCAGGCCTGTGGGGTGGCCATCTTCTGCCTGCCATGTGGGCTGAGGAGAGGAGCAAGACATTCTGAAGACAGAGACCAGGGGCAGGAGACAGAGAGAGAGACCGGCTGGATGCTGACGCCTCCGGTTCCCAGTCCTCACCCTTTCCTGAGTCTGACCATATTCTGCTTCCAGGAGCCACCCCTTCCCAGATCCTTTTAATAAAATTTCCCGTTTTTGCTTCAGCCAGTTGGAGCTGTGTCAGACCAGGAGTCCCCTGCGCAGTGGGTGCCTCAGTGTCCATTCGTGCCTTCCTCCTTCCTGAGGGCGCCTCCGCAGGGTTGCGGGTGGGGGCAGCACTAAGAGGCTTTCCTTCCTCCTGCAGGCCTGCAGGTGGGATGGACGGAGCTCCATCAGCCTCAGCAGCTTCCAGG